AGGGTCTCACATGTGCTCAGCAAGTGCTTTACCACCAAGCAGCAGCAACTTTGGGAATAGCTGAATTAATAACATACTTTATGTAGCTTAATATTTCCGTATAGAGTTCTAGCAGAATCTATGGAAAACTTGTTGATGGTGTATTTTACATTTTTCAATCTTAATGTTTGACATCTGGCCTGACATTTTATACTTAGTTTCCTTCTCAGTTTGGACAAGCTGCATTTCAAGTCATAGTTAATGACTTGTGTATTGGACAGTGCAGGTGCTGGCTTTTAACATATGGTCATCACCAGATGAGACAGAGACCTATTTTAGAACAGGAACCAGTTTTGTTCACTTTAGCAACCCCACTTCCTAGCCTAGTGTCTGGGATACAATGGGAGCAGAATGACATTTATTAAGTCACTGAGTGAAAACTGATTCTTTGAGAGGCTGCTTTTGTCCATGTTACCTGTGGGACCCCTGAAGCATAGAGAGCTGAACAGAATGGTCTGGGGTCACATGATAAATCAAGACGTAAATCTAAGCTTCCTGACTCTAAGCCTGCTCTGCCTTCTAGTTAGTCTGAACTCATCAGACTGAGTATTCAGGGGTTCTTGCAGACCTTCTGGTTAGTCTAAACTAATCAAACTGGGTATTTCAGGGTTCTTGCAGACCTGGTTAGTCTAAACTGATCAAACTGGGTATTCTGGGGTTCTTGCTGACCTTCTGGTTAGTCTAAACTAATCAAACTGAGTATTCAGGGGCTCTTTCAGGGCTTCTGGCACTGAACTGGCCATTCAAGAGAATCAGATATATTCTGGGAGGGATGGATCTCCATTAGGTGACCACAACAGGAAAAAATAGTTTCTGTAGCACGAATTCCAGTTGGTATTAATAATAAAAATCCAGAGTCAGTTACATGGGTTATTGCTGAAGATCAGAGAAGTAGAGAGGCTAGTTACTAGAGAGTTCTTTCACCTCTACCAGTGCCCAGACAGAAGGGTGGTCCTGCCCTCAGACTGCATCTCCAGACTCCTTTTGTCTTCACCAAATATCAGACTGCACTGAGTTCCTGTCTCCTTCTGCCTTACATTCCTCTCTCCACCCAGCCATATCCCTCATGGCTCTACCTCCCTAGTGTTGTTATTAAAGGTGTGGGATACCAAGTGCTGGGATCACCTTTGTGTGAGCTGTTTTTCTCTCCTTTAGACAGATTCAGTCTTTGTGCCCAGTGTGGTCTTGATCTAACAGAGTCTTCCTCTGCCTCTGTCTCTAGAGCCCTGGGATTAAAGGTGTGTATCACCACTACCTGGCCTCTAGTAGCTTAGTTCTGTACTCTGATCTTCAGGCAAGCTTTATTTGTTAAAACATAAAATGTTACTACAAGTTCCCAGGATAAAAACCATAGCTTTTCATTTTAATATGTTGCTTTCTGAGCACTTTTCTCTTGGTAATTTGCAAACCCCATGTTTACAGCCTAAACTGAGGCCACTTTGTCTGTGAACTTTTGTTTCATTAGGTCAGGGTACACTATTTGCTTTGAACCTAATCCTTCTGTGTGTTTCAAACAGCTCTATCCTTGTGTAATGTGGATCCAGGGTCCTGCCCCAATTAAGAAATTTACTCAGAAGTCAGAGGCAGGCAGATCTCTGTGAGTTTGAGGCCAGCCTGGTCTACAAGAGCTAGTTCCAGGCTCCAAAAGTACTGAGAAATCCTGTCTCAAGAAACTAAAGAACAAAAATTAAAAAAAGAGAGAAATTTACATCTTTTTATGTAGAAAGATCCCGTGCTTGGCAGTCAGCGTGATAGCACAGATACAGAAGACAGTAGAAACCCTCATTGAGCCACGTACTAGTTACGCTGCTTTGAAGAAGTCACTTTTCTTACAAGCCTCCGTTTTACTTTGTTGATAAACTTATTTAATTGATGGCCATGCAGATGAAGTAAGAGTGAACATGCTAAGCCCCTGGCACCTACTGGAGAAAATGTGAACTCGGCGTGTGTTCTTAAATTCCTACTGTTGGCAATACAGGATCCTCAACACCGCAGCCCTCAGTTCATCTCTTTGTTTCATGCCAACTGTCTGTCTGTGTTCAGCTGGGAGTGTCCTGAGGCCTGAGCTCAAGCTCATTGCTCCAGCACGTGGCTATGAAGTACCTGCTGCCGTATTAGGAGCAGCTGGAAGGAAATGTTTAACCATAAGCACAGTTATATTTGGACCATCCTCATGGATGCCTGGAGAAAGGGTCTGAAAAGAGGATGGGGTGAAATCAGGTGAGGACTTGGTGGTAGTGGGAGGGCTAGCTTGGATCCAGGGCATTCTTGATCTGCGAGGCTTGAGGAGAACTGTGGTTCCTCAGTTGATAAAGGACCTGAGTTTGATCACCAAAACCTACCTACAGAATACTGTGCCTGGTGATGTGTGCCGGAGGGCTGAGATCAGAGGATTCCTGGGGTTGGCAGATGAGCCAGTTTAGAGTAATCTGCCAACCCCAGGCCCAAGAAAAAAAGACCCTGTTTTAAACAAAACAAAACAGCCAAGGCAGATGGCTCCTGAGGAATGACCCTGCAGATGAACTTCTCACCTCCAGATGTCTCTGCACACTCGTGTGCATACATGCACACTAACGTATGCCCCCATATGAACAGGTGCACATGCATGAACCTGTAGTTTTTATACCGTAAAGCTTACCCATTTAAAGAAACTACAGAATATAAATGGTGTGTCAGCGTATCCACAATCCAAATTTAAAACATTTTCGTTATTTGAAAAGAAACATGTGTCCCTTAGCAATCCTTCCTCATTTTCCTGTTGTCACCCTGTCCCCACTTCAGACTCCCTTGTCCAGAGTCAATATTTTTGAGTCTATAGATTGTCTGTTCATATATAAGGTACCTTACAGTGCACATTCTTTTGTTAGATACACAATGCAGCATGCATCCCTGCTTTTTCCCTTTTGTGTCAAATAATAGTCTGTTGTACCTATGTACCTTGTCTTGTTCATGTCAATGGATGTTGTTACTTTTTTCTGTCTATTATGAACATTGTTGTGAACCTTTAATTGCATATGAGTTTTGTTTGGACACGAGTTTTCTCTGAAACTATGGAATTCTTGGTTCCACACAGGAGTAGAACTGCCAGGCTGTATGGAAACTCTGTGCTTGTTATTTGAGGGACTGCCAAACACGTTTCAAAGATGAGGTGCCATTTTTCTTTTTCACCAGCAGTGTTTTGCAGGTTCTGGGTTTTTGTATTTCACCAGCAATTCTCATTGTCTTTTCTACTCAAGTCATCACGGCAGGTGTGATATTATGTCACTGTAGAACTGATCCTTTAATGCCTGATGGTAGTGTATAAATTCTTATGTGACTCTTAACCATTTGTGTGTTTTCTTTGGTGATATGTCTTTTTTGCCCAGATTAAAAAATGTGAATTATTTCAACCCCACAATTTCAGTTCTTCATATCTGCTCTAGAGGCATCCTCATACATATACACAACGGGACCAGTGTACAGATATTCATACAGCAGATTTTAAAAGAGCTGCTTAGAAACAAGTTGAATTCCAGTTAGCAGGGGATCAGGTAAATACAAATCCTTTAAAAGCACCTTTTAGACTGTATACAACCCCCATTTTTGGCTCTTAAAGTCAGCTTCCTAGGTTATAGTCATGTGTTTTATTAAAGTAGGAAAGAACAGAGACGGTTTCAGGCAGTAAGGAATTCTTTATGAATCAATGCCAGTAGAATTGAAAAATTACTGCGACAGAATGTTCTGTAGGGTTACAAATGTGGTCACAGACCCATGTGTACAGTCACTGAAACTGTAGGATGAAGGGTGGTGTAGAGTATCACACTCACTTTAAATGCATTGGTGTGTGTCCATCTGTTTGTGTCCCTTCATGGATCTTCCTCTACCTGTTGCTCCCCACCTTGGTTTTTGAGATAGAGTCTCTCATTGACTTGGTGCTTAGTATATACTGACTGATCAGAAAGCCCCCAGATGCATGTGTTAGCTCCGCCCCTAACAGTGCTGGGGTTATAGGCATATGCCACCACAGCCGGCTTCTACATGGTCTCTTGGTATCCAAACTGTTTATGCATGTGCAGTACACAATTTACCCACTGAGCTGTCTCCCCAGCCTGCATTTGTCTTATTTTAAGCCAGAACATAAAACTGTGATTCTCTGTGTATAAATGCCCAGGCGAAGACTATCAGGCACCTTGTTTCTGAAGTCATTGCTTATCTCTTAGGAAGTGACTGGGTTGGTAATCTCTAGTGAGAATGAGCTTTAGGTATATCTGATTTTCATCTTTATGCTTTTCTGCTCTAATTAAAATTCATGGCAGACAGTGGAAAAGGATGTTCAGAGACAAACAACAGTGCACTTGTTCATTTGATTGTTTTTCAGGGTAAGTCCATTTCTGCTCCAGTTCTGATGGCACTGCCAGTAGAAAGCTTAGTTTCCTTTGGGTCTTCTAGTGTGAAAGACAGTTATTTCTGGCAACTAGAAGCACAGAAAGAGGTAGCTTCCTTCAGAGAGGCAATAAAATAAGCCAGGAGGATGAGGTAGAGAAGTGCACTCGCTCTGGGGCCCATGGCCTTCCTCTCCTGGCACATGGCAGATGCTCTTCAGTTTATGAATGTTCACCCATTCATCCAGTAAAGAATGGGGACCCTGCTGTGTGCAGAGGCTAGAAGGCCCTTCCTCTTCTCATTTATTCTTCATTATCCCTACCCCTGGTGTCAGGAGGCCATAGTCGTGAGGAGGTGCAAAGTGTACGAAGTGAAATAATGCCATTGAAGGCTTCCTACCTTTACTTTTGGAGGCTTTTAATATATAAAAAGTAAAATTTAAAATAGCACCCATTCAAAAGATGGTGGTTAAATTTGATTTTAGTTTTTAAAATTCAGTGTAGAAAATAGACTTTGTTCTTTTAGTGATGCTTTTTGGAAGAAATAGAAAATTAAGGTGAAGGAAAATATGTCTATTCCCTGTGAGTGATACTTTTGGTTCTTTGGAATATTTTCTTGGTGTTAGTTATTTGTAGCTGCCTTTCAGGCGACTTTTGATCAAGTGCTAGATCATCTCTCATCCCCCTGTGCTCTCTCCTAGTGACCTTCACCCTATTCTGCCAAGTGAGCTGGGTGGCATCAATGACATTGCTGGCTTGGGAAATGGAGGTAAGTGTGCAAGCCAAGAAAAAATGGGGAGTAGGCTAACACCATGAGCATCTGAGGCCCAGAATCAACCTGAGTGTTCACAGTGGGCACTCAGCATTTTGTATATGTGTACTGATTTGCACTTAATCTTCTTCATATACATGGACTAGAACCGTTCTTAGACTCAAATTTACTTCCTGTTAATAAATAGCTGTGGGGAGGCTGGACATTGAATTGGTACCAGCTTGGACCCTAGGGTTGTGTTGGTTTCTACTCCTGAATGCTTGAGACCCAAGAGAGCAGCTGTCTGTACTTCATTGTACCAGGGTTTTGTAGCAGGCTGCTGGCTGCGGTCTAGCCTCAGGAAGTAGCTGCTCAAACTGTAGGAGGTGTTCCTCTGTAAATTGCAACATGTTATGTTCAAGCTGGATTGTGGGAGACTGCATCCCACTGGATTATGCAAGTCTGGTTTTCTCTTCTGAATTATTTCTATTCTGGAAGAAGTGTGTGCCTTCCTAAGTGTCTGTGTATGTAGTGCTAACAATTTTCCTTGCTGAATTTTTTTTTAAGAGATATTTTGACTCAGGGTTTTTTTTTTTTTTTCTTCTCTAAAGTCAGGAGATAATGCAAAAAGAAGCTTTTGGAGCAGACAGAATGAGAATAACAAGATTTATTTCCAGGGAATGATATAACTTAATAGGTCGTCCCCAGGTTTTCCTTTGGGACCCGTTGACTTTTACTTGAAAGAAAACATTTGATAAGCAGAAAGTTGTGAAGCTTGCCCTTAATTCAGCCTTGGATGTACTTGTCTTCTTGCCAGAGTCTGGCCAAGCATTGAGAATCAGCTTGGAATGTCATTGCCTATAGACTGAGGACAGATAGATAAGAAGTTACTCTGATAAATCATTTAATCCAGGTTATCAACAGAGATGTGTTAGGTGCTGTGTTAGGTGCTGTGAGGGAGGAAGGGAGTGAGATGCACATTGGCTGAGAGACTGGACACTGGATCTGAGAGTTGGCATTGGCCTGAAGTAGCGGAAGAAAGGCATGGGCTTCTCCAACAGGCATTGCTGAGCACCAACTGAGGACAGAAGAGAAACCCCTGTGCCCTTATTAGGGACACAGGAGTCTGCACTGTCTCTGCCCACACTTGTCTGTGCCTGGGGTCTGCTGTTTTATCCTCTGCCCACCGCTGCCTGCTTTGTTGAGAACTCAGCTCAAAGCTCACTACCTTCTTTGGCTTTCCTGAGTTACTTAGCATCCTCCATCCTCTGAGCATTTTATATATATATATATATATATATATATATATATATATATATAATTTTATATATATATAATTATTATTTCTGTTGAGTAGCCATGGGAGATTTTAGGTTCGTGTGGCCTACAAATCTCAAAGTCTTCACTGGTGTTTTAAGAAAGTCTTTGCCAGCTGTGCTGTGTCAGTTACTGACATGTGAGGAGGAGGAAGCACATGTCAGGACTGTCTACTTTGTCACATCACCCATGTATTTCTGGGGTTCATCACCTTGGCACATGTGGCTATATTGCAATCAATGTAGGTATTTTGCCAATATTGAGAATGTAGTAATTACTGATTTGAGTCAGTAAATGCCAGCAAGCAATAAGTGCCTGTGGGTACACTGACTGCTATTCTGATTTTCTCTCCTGCTCTTGACCCCATTAGGGATGATGGGCAGCCTGAATACACTAACGAGTTTGTCTCTTTGCCTTTCTAAAGTGCTCCCAAACGTGTCAGAAGAAAAGGTGTGGCCTACCAGAGCCTGGAACATGAAGGACTTTGAAAATGTAAGTGAAGAAACCAAATCATCCTCCTCTAAGAAGCCATGTCTGCTGCCACCGTGTAGCCAGGCCAGGAGACAACTGTTTCCTGAGAACTGTTGTAATGCCAGAGGCGAGGGAGGGGGTGATACATGCCATGTGGTGGGGCTTTTGTGGCCTGGGCCTTATATGAGGAGGCGTTTACATGTACACACAACCAGTCTTTCGTAAAGGTTCTGCTAGGTTCTGACTGGTAATTGGTTTGTTTCTGGTGTCTTAAAGATGAGAGTGTTGCCGTATTATTCACTAAAGTGTAGCTGACAGTATCATAGGTACATGATTTATAAATTCTCTTTGGTTCTTGCTGCAAACATGAGGTGTTTTCTATTAGCAATTTTACAAAGGAGGTCTCAGAATAGGAGAGACTGATTTATGGTCAGATAATAAATTCGTAAGAGGCAGAACTAGGATTCAGTTTCACTTTTTAGAAAATGAATATTCTTTTAAGGTTTATTTTAATCTACTTTAGAGTGTGTGGTATGTGTATGCTGTGTGTGTGTAGTACATGCATGTTGAGTATGCTAATGTGTATGACTGTGTGGTTGTATGTCAAAGCCAGAGCACGATGGCAGTTATTTTCCTCTGTCACTGTCTGCCTTATTCCCTTGCGACTGAACTTTTGCAGCTAGGCTGGCAGGTTGACTGGCTGGCCAGCAAAATCCGAGGATTTTCAATATCGGTAATGCAGTTATTTAGGTCATCTCTGCTCCTCCCAGTGCTGGGCTCATAGGCATGCCTGGCCTTGCTCAGGTTTGTTTGTTTGATTGTTTTTCTTTCTTTTTAAGTGATTGCTGGGGATTTGAATTCAGGTTCTGACGCCTGCATAACACGAGCTCCACTGCCTGAGTTCACTTAAGCATCCTTGTTCTGCTGCATTGCCCCTCCCCTTTCATTTTGTAGACTTTGTGGCTGGTGAATGGAGCATGGGTAGCCTGTACCCAGTGCTGTGTTGTAATTGCCAGAGAATGGCTTACTGGTGACAGGTTTGGCTTTGATGCTCAGTGACTTCCAACATTGTTACCTTTCATTTGTTAGCAGAGGGGCTTGTTGCCAGGTAACAGGAAGCTAAGGTTATTTCCAAATTCCAATTCTCTTTAACAAGTTACCTGTTCAATACTCGTACATCATGGGAAGAATTAGACTCTTCTTCATTTGTGACCAAATGAAATCCATACTATGCAAGACACAGGAGATGTCTTCTCTCTTTGTCAGAGAGAAGATGGAGGACGCAGAGAGAAGGACGCCTGCGATTATGTCTTTCTCTCCCCTGTTGTCTTTGCAGAACAGAGCGGTGCTGTCTCTGGATTTAATTTAGCATACTCATTACTGCTAATAGTTATCTGCAAACCACCAGTGACCAATTGAAGAAATGGCTTGTCAGATCTCTAATGGAAACAAGTCATTTTCGAGCTTAGAGTTGTTATAATTTCAGCTGTACATGCGCTGTTACGTTGTAAAGTCTGGGGCCTGAACTGAATGAGATCTGATTGTTTCACATCGTGTATAATTAAAATATGCTCTCCTGTTAAAGGCTTGTTCCTATTTGATCGTAAGAGTAATAATAACTGCTGTTTATTCGGCTCTGGCTCCGAGCTTGGCACTTTAAATATGAAGTTTTTCATAATATTAGAGCAACTTTGCAAGATCAACAGTTATTATGTTTTGTTGAGGAACATGGTTTCATTATCAGATGAGGAGATTTAGCAGCATTGTATAATTTTGGCCTCACATCTGCCTTTTGAACCCTAAAGAATCCTGCCTGCCCTATTTAAGATTCGTAAAACATACCGAGGCTTGGGTATGTGGTGTGGCAATGGTGTTCTCAAAGGACCTTACTAAGGACCACAGCTTCTCCACATAGACTGTCTCTTGATCCCTTTTGCTGGTGACTTTCGGCCAGCGGCTTAGCCTCCCTGTATTTCTCCTCCTTTCTGATGGGCTGTTAGCAGGATGATGCCTCTGTCATTGAGTACATCCATGTGTCAGGTGGCCCTCCTCCTTACTATCTTATTACTGTCATTTTTCTCAGCTCTGCCTTGTGATTGAAGTTTCTCTTGCTCAGACTGTTCTTGATGGCCAAAACCTCATTTTTCTTGAAGGTGAGGGAGAGCTTTCTATGCCAATATGTTTTAGAATTTATGCTTTTTCTTTATGACTGTGGTCCTTTGGCTGCTGTTAGGTTTTTATGGCATTAATATTTTTTATTGTAGCATTTTCGAGAGCACATTTTGCAGTTGAAATTGAAATGGCCACCCTGCTCTCACTGTCTCCCTTGCAGGTCTTTATAAGTCACTGAAAGTTTTCATTTGGCCTGAGCTACATTTTGTGGTGGCACTCTGGGCTTTCTGGGAGGTGCTTATAGGAAAAGAACTTGGCATCTGACATGAGATTTAAAGGGACATGCACATGAAAGAGAGGCAGAATAATTTTGAGTTAAAAGGGAGACCCCTGCTTTTCTTGTTCTGGTCTCAGGTGACTGCTGTGTGAGCATCAGCAGGTGCATTAACTAGGTTTAGTGAGGCATTGATCTGCTTGTGCTTTTCTCAGAGTTCATCTGTTCAGTACACAGTTTCACATAGGCAAGCCAGGTCGTCTGTCAGGTGGGGAATCTGCAGTGGGTTCTGCCCTGGTAAGTTTCCCTGTTATGATCGTACTGGATCGATGGATAGGAAGATAGTTTGGTGATGCAGTGAGTGCATAAGAGAGGGCACCTGTGGATACCAGAGACAGATAGCACTGAGTAAGTGACCTGGGCTTGGAGAATTCTATGTATACGAAGATTCATATACAGCTTTGAGAAGGCATGTTAATAAAGTCAGGAAACTGTGAGATGTATTTTCAGAATGAGGCTATCTCAAGGAAATATAGCCTAGAAGTAGGAAGGCAGTCTGTTTCTTGACTGTTACACTGCTGATTTTTTCTTGAAGGGGAGAGGGGACCAGTGATAGACAGTGATGTAAGTGGTCAGAATTGTGCTTTTAAAAGATTACCCAACACTGTGAATGTAAGGAGTAGAGTTTTGAGGGGGACAGGGTGGTGGCAAGGTGATAGGGTTAAAGGAGACCTGAGAGGTGTTGTATAG